CTCCCTCCGCCCCGAACGCTCCGGGGTTAGGGCGGGCAAACAGAGGTGGGCGAGCGCGGGGGACGGTGCCTGCAAGCCGAAGGAGCTGCCCCGTGTTTATTTTGTTGATAGCTCTTATTTTGTGCGTGGCTTAAAGTGTTAATTGATATCTAATCCTGTCGCTTGTAGTTGCCCAAATCTCCTTTGTTTGTTAAGTGGCAGAGTTTGCCTTTCTTTAGGAGCAAGAAGCAGAAGTGACTAAGTAATCCAAGTAAAGCGTGCTTAAAGTAGAGAACTTTAGAGTTTGATACAGTTTGGGTTTGTTTGTAGGTGGTGTTTTCCTCTACAGCTGAACGCATTTGCTAGGACAAGCTCCCTTCCAAACAGGAAGCACTTCTGGCTTACCTGAAGGTGCGGTGTGCCGCATGCCGCAACCCTGGAAAACCTCTGTCAAAATTTCAAATAAATTGGCTTTAACTTGCAACTTCATAATGTCTGGAGCTGTACCTTATGTGCAGCAACACTCAGGATGCAGTAGCAGTCATGCCCCTGGCAGCAGTGTGGATGCTTGTGCTTATTTTAAAGCTGTGACTCCTGAGGCAAGGCACTGCTTAGATTTGAAGCAGATGAATAATCCTATGCCTGTTCAATACAGGGTTACTGAATCCTTTTGTGTGTGCAAACAGGGATGAAATGACATGTTGGCTACCATGGGAAAGGAAGTTCTTAGAAAATCAGGTCACCATGTGGGAAAGGTTGAAAGCAGGGAGGAATGGCTAATAGCTCTGAGAAAGAAACTCTCATTAGGCATGTAAAGCAGGTGGGGAAAAAAAGACATTTTATATGTGAGAAAAATGCAAAGACTCTAATAATGTCAAGTGAATAAAGAACACATAAGAAATTAAATTAACAACCTGGTTCATCATCGTTTAGTGATACTTTTATCACATCATGAAAGTTTTCTTTAGAGACTCTAATGAACCCTGCAAGAGACTAATATCCCTGTCAGATGTGTTGAACACAGAGAAGTAGAGTTGCAGAAGTGCCAAGATACTAATTAATGCATAAACAAAACAATGAATAATTCAGTAAATGAATTAATATTTAAAAACAGAGTTAAGCCCTGGTGAACTCACATTAATACCTTGTCTACTGAATTAGATTTTTGTTGTACTTTCTGCAATTAGTAATTATAATCAGTGGGAATCCATAGAAAAAAAATGGAAAAATTTTGTCAAATTCTTGATCAAAGCTTTTGAAGCCATTCAGATCGTTGTTAATCTATATACAAAATTAACAATACATTTATGGTAACCATAATACTCTGCACTTAGGTAGGTCCTGTCAGTGGGAGATAATTATGCAGTTAATAGTTACAACAATTAATAGTTGCAGCTGTTAGTGTTTTTCACTTGCAGAAATGAAAGTAAGGAGAGATTTGAGTGATATGCTCAGGGTCAGTCCACAGGTCTGTGGAAAGCTGCGAGTCCCCTCTGCCCTCCTCCTTGTCACTGACACTCCACACTGCTCCACAGTGCAGAGTTCCAAACTGGTCACTGATAAGTGAAACCATCAACTTGATACTTGTTACCACGGGTAATCTCTACTGTGGTGTCGGTTTCTCCCAAACTTGTCCTTCTCAACTGCATGCATTTGGCTTCCAGGTGATGCACATAAAAATACGATTTTATATTCTTGTGTGATAGCAGATTAGTGTCTAACTTCTCAAAGTATAGGATTTGCTTATTCCCCACGCTAGTGCTGAAGGATGTCCACCAGCATCTTTGCATTGAGGTTTATTCCACAGGTGTCATTTATGATTTATATCTATGATAAAGAATTGCATATATTGTAAAATTTACATGAAGTAGATTAAAGAAGCACTCCAGCTTTCTCTTTTGTGACCTTTAAAAAAAAGTCTGTGCCTGAAAGATTACAGCATATAAAATAGTCTCTACTCAACTACACAAATACGTCTTGCTGAAATGTTGCTGCCTTAGCTGTAGATGGTCACCCTGCTGCCTAACAGAGAAGGGAACCTCTGTCAGAATGGGTACTTATGCAGCTTATCTCCATCTCAGGTATGTAGGTGTGGAGGAAAGAAATAACTCCTATTCCTTCTCTCCCTATCAGCTCATCTCTGCCTTCTTGACAATCCATACAGTCACGGAGAAAAACCTCTGCCAAGGTGCCAGATGCTCTGCAGGAGAGAGGATCTGCACGCACAGGAGGTAACCACAGTGAAAATGCTTCACTTAGTGCAGGCCAGCGCTGCCTGAATAAAACTCAGTGATCCAAATTCCTTCTTGATACCATTTGGTCTTAAGTGAAATTAGAAGAGTTGGAATTTGATTAATTATAACTCATGCTTAGTGCTTAATAAAAAAATACTCTGGATCTGTACATACGCTTCTAAAACACACTCTGTAGCGTGCACTCAATGACTCTGCTGGGGCAAGCCAGCGTGCGCCGCTCCATAAACCTGTGCTCGAAATGAAATTCCTTCTTGATACCATTTGGTCTTAAGTGAAATTAGAAGAGTTGGAATTTGATTAATTATAACTCATGCTTAGTGCTTAATAAAAAAATACTCTGGATCTGTACATACGCTTCTAAAACACACTCTGTAGCGTGCACTCAATGACTCTGCTGGGGCAAGCCAGCGTGCGCCGCTCCATAAACCTGTGCTCGAAATGAAAGCAGAAACATCAAGTCCTGGAGGGAGAGGGTCCAGTCCCATATGATCCATCATGATCCTGCTCACCTGCCAGGCCAGACAAGCGCCTGCATCACTGCCTGCCTGGCCCTTATCTCTGCACACACAGGCCAGGGGTTGCTAAGCAACTGGCAACCCTGCTTTAAAAGGAGAATTAACTAAATTAGTCTTGATGAAGACAAGCTACAGCTGGGGATCAGGCAAGAGCAAGGAGAGGGGAAGACAAAAAAAAAAAAAAAAAAGAAAAAAAAAAAGCTGTCATTTGCACAGGAGAGCAAAAGGTGTCTGAAAAGAAAGAGGAGTTTTAAAAGCAAAGAGGGAATTGTGTATGTCATGCAAGAAGAAGCAGGATAGAGAATTAAGTTCTTCATGCCCAGCACTCTCTGTATTTGAACAACACATAGCAAAGCTCCAGATCTTTAAGAGACTACAAAAGACAAGTTTTAAAAAAATGATGCCAACAAAACCTTCCCCCTCTTTTTGGTCTCAGTTTGAATACAGATTCACAGCAATTTCTACCAAAGGACATGGAAAGATGTGATGGAATTAAGCAATTCAGGTTTGTGTGGCAGGGAAGCAGCACCTCCTGAAGCAAGCCCGAGATACACAGTGAATGGACACTTGCCATGTTTGCTTCCAGCCCTAACAAAGTGGCCACTGGCTTCATGCTCATAGTGTAAAGAAATTCTCTTCCAGTAAGGACAGTCTGTGCCGAGTGCGGCCAACTCTCATTCTTTTGTGCTGTCCAAGTGCCCTGACCTCTGAATCCAAAGCATGATGTTCCATTAAAAGGCACATCAGCTACTCGGCTCAGGACCATACATTATTCTTCTAGAAACACAAGAGCCGAGAAAACAATATACAAACTTTACCCAGCATATTCATGCTTTGTCATTAACTGCAAGCATGCTTTTTTCCTCCCCATCTACATTCACTTTCCATGAATATCTCAGTAAATAACTCACATGGAAGAATATTTTTAGAAAAAAAAAATACACAAATACTGAAGAATATTACCAGGAAAACCATATATTACAGCTATGACTACCAATTTATACCCCTCATGTGTGTCCTCCGCTGTATTTTTCATCTAGTCCTGTCAAAGCAGTATGAATAAGAAATCACTTTTTGAATATTTAGACTAGGCAGTTTACAAACCAAGAATTCCTTGTTACTGTGAGCTTATGAGAAAGTATGAACAAATCTGTACAATTTTCTGGTGTACAGAATACCCTAAACAGAAGTGCAGATAAATAAGTAACATAACTGCTTTTTGTCAAAGCAGTTATACTTCTAGCAGCTATCGGTCAGTCTGCCAATTTCCCTCATTTTTAAGAAACAGCGGTATATTTTAGAAGATCTTAGTTCACAGCTGCATCTTCAAACAACTGAAATAAGTGAAACAAGTACTCCTGCATCTGAAGTTCATATTTTCAAGGTGTTTATTCATTAGAGTAATACTTTGATGTCACAGATCTGAGGGGAAATACGAGGTAAAGAACCAGAAGAAATATAAACACTCAGAAGAAATAATGCCTACTATGCATGAATTTTAATCAGAGAAAACACAAGTGTTAGCAACATAGATTCATCTCTGAGGGGGAGTTCAGACTGCCATCTGGGGGATTTATGACCAATAGATCTGGCTGAAGAGCTGGGAATGTAGCCTACATGATGGGTTTAACTGGGTATGTTCCATTTAACAGCAGTCAAAGCATTCTTTGCCACTACCTTACCCAGTGAACTTTCCACTGAGTTTAGTTTGCAAACTCCTTGCAAACTTGGCCTGATTCTTGAAGAAAACATGTCTGACAGGCTTAAGTACTTGCAGAATGGTTTCAATAAATAATCTATCAACAAGCTGCTTACAAGCTTCCCTTCAATTTGTCCATGAGTTGTAACTGGTCACTCAATTTACACAGGGTTTCATTTGTTTTGACTGATTTCAAACCAACGACTGACAGACAAGACAATCTCTTTGCATGTTTGCTTTGCTCTTCCTAAATAAGAGTAATGCAAAATCGTCGTAAGTCCTTGGATGCATATAATCATTCTTCTTTTATCACACTTGAGGCAATTTCCCTAGTCCTGATAAAACTACGATTCCCTATGTCTCATCCATCAACTTAGCAAGGGCTTCCAGGTTATTTAGACCTGAATCC